TTTTTTTAAATAAGACACTGATTCCAGTGGAGCAAACTCTTCTGCCTCTTGTAAGCACCAGACTTTTATAAAGAAACAGTTTTTGTGGATCAGTCTCTGGTCCTGACAGAGACTCCCAAGGGACACCCATCTCCCTTGGGGAGCTGCTTAAAAAAATGGGGTTGTGTAGTGTGCAGCTTAATTCTTCCTGACTCCTGGAGAAAGCCCGGAGTTTTGGAAACTACCCTCTTCCAACAGCCACATCTGATTAAGCGTCCTTAATGTTGAGACAAGACTCCTGGCAGCCCCAACCCTTTACAAAACGATGGGGCTGGGATCCTTCCCCGCCTCAACTCGAATATCCAGCACTCACCAGGCGGTGGCAGGGCCGAGCACGTGGGCTCGTATAAGGGCCCACTTCCAGGGTCCTCCTAGGGAAGGGGACAGCTCAGGAGATGAGAGGACGGCGCACTATCCTGACCCGTGGCAACCTCCCTGATTCTTACAGCCAATGGCCAAAGGCAGGGGAAATGCCCTGTGTCCTACTCCCATGTTCAAAAGATGCTGTCAGAAGCCACTATCTCTTTTCCATCCTCTCCTCACGCATTACCCCCACTGTCATGCCGATAAATCCCAAAATCATAGGGTGGCACGATTCCTCCCGTGCCCCTGCGGGTTGAAGGCGGGCACTAAAGCAGTGCAGTCCCAAGCTTTCCCTGCAGAAGCCGCGCTCCCCACTCGGTCCGGGGGTAGAGGGGGCGCGAGAGAGCAAGTGGGCGGGCGTCCCATCCTCCGCATCCTCCTCCAAGTCCTGGCGCGCAGGGAGGGAGCGCTGCGCTGCGCCTGGCTGCGCATCGCGGCCCGCTTGCCGCCTGCCCCCTGCCCTAGCTGGGCCACCTCCCCGGGCTGCGGGTGGAGGGCTACGGGGCGCTAACATTACGCTGTTTCCGGTTTTCCAGCGGGCTCTGTTTCCCCTCCCAAGGCGGCGGCGGCTGAGCGGCGGAGCCCCCCAAATGGCCTGGCCAGATGCGGCAGG